GCTGTGCTCCCCCCGCCCGCGGTCTCCCAGCCCCGGGGGGCTGGCGGCAGCCTCGCGGAAGCTGGCGCAGTACACGCACCCTGTCAGGTAAGTGGCTGTGCCGGGCCGCCCCGTGGACAGCGCTGGGTGCTGCTGTCCCCTCGCTGCTGGTGCCTGGGGTGGTCCGCAGCCGGAGGAGAAAGCCTCCTGCTCGGCAGTGCTGGGCTAGCAAAGCCCGTGGGGCCATATACATATACATATGTATAGATATGTGTGTATATATATATATCAAATATTTATGTAGTTGTTTAATTCCCTCAGAGGGACATGGGGGCGGTGAGGGGCAAATTGTTTTGAACTGACAGGCCCTTGAGCAAATGACTGCCAGCACTTGGTGGGTTTACCTGATCTTTAAGATGCTCAGATGCTTCTTCTGTGGTTTGGGACCTAGACAGTTACATAGTGATTATGGCTATTCTTTGTGATGGCAGGGCTGGCTGAAGTACCTTGCTGCTCATTCCTGTGCCCTGGAGGGAAAAATATAAGGGAGCGGGAATACTGATAAATTGGATTAGTTCATGGGCTGTTTCACTGTGCAAACTCCTAATCTGCCTGTTTGCCCTGGGAGGGAGGAAGGGGCAGGAGGAGAGGACATGAAGTGATAGAGCCAGCATTGCCAAGAGGAATATTTGTGTAACTGCTGCTTTAATTATGAAGGTAATGATAGTATCCAAGTCTATAAACTACTTAATCCCAAAGCATCCAAAGTCATCTTGCAAATAGAACTCATCAGCAATGTGGAACTAAGCAGAACAATACTGTCAGTTCTGATGAAGACAAAGAAAATGACTACAGTTGAATCCACAGGAGAATCTGCATTCAGCTAGTACTAGTGGTTGGCTGCAAGTTGGCTGAACTAATTAAATGGGTCATTATTTCAGATAAGATGCAGTTTTCTCCCAAACCTAGGCTCTGATCCCTCAAATGCAGAGGCATATGCTACCTAAGCAATTGCACTGGCTGACTTCATTGAGGCCGCTTACAAGCTTAGAGGTATGGGTGAATACCGCAGGGAACACTGGGAGTAGAGAAATCGTAGGAAGCAAGTATCAGTTACTTTGTACTGTAAGGGAAGTCATGTTGTAACAGTAACTGAGAAAGCATTCTTGTACTTGCTAGAAAACCATCTGGTTCTGCTCCTTGATGTATTTCTATTATGAACAATCTGTATTTAATTGCTTTTGTCACAGTTTGCTAGTTTCTGATCTCTGGAGGCTTCTATTGTATATTCTTTTTAACAGGTACTTTAAAACTGTAAGAAGAAGAGGCTGCTAGTTGAAAAGAAATGGGAAATATGGATTAGATTAGTTGAATTACACTGTCAGATAGCCCTTGCTAAGCAGTGATATTATCAGAAATTCATGTGTGAACTTTTGGGTAGAACATGGAAATGACTTTGAAATCTAGAGCCATGGGGCATCTTTAAGAAGTGAAGCAGATGATTCTTGGAAAGACAGGACTCTAAGGCCTAATCCGCTTAACACTAATCTTAGACACTATCATTCCTTTCCACTTTGAGTCTTGCCTTAGACCACTGTAAGCCAGAGCCAGGATTTGACCCTCAACAACAAAAGCACTCATTTAATCCAAATATTATCAGGGATCCTGTTCAGCACCTGTTAAACTTCTTGGGAGTTGTTCTTGGGAGTGAGGTCAGTAGTATCCAGATCAGGTCCCAGGACTCCTATTAAGGTACTAATTGTAAGTTTGAGATGCAATGGATCTCGGGCTTTAGAGTAGTTTTGCTAGAAAACTAGGCTTTAATATAAACATTCAGATGAAAATACAGAATCCAGAGAAAAGACAAAAAAATACGTTTAAAGTGGAAAGTCACTTAGTGACGACTGAGACTGTGAGGGGAAAGCTCATGTGAGAAGCTGTCTGCTAGATGAACTTCACTGCTTCTTGTCTGTCAGCTTCCAAGCAGAATATGTAATAACAATAAATAAACCTATTGTATACTTGTTTCAGGCTATTTTGGCCCAAATCGAGGTGCTATGATTACTTATATCAGGAAGCTGAAGCACTTCTGAAAAACTTTCCAGTTCAAGCTACAATTTCCTTTTATGAAGACTCAGATAGCGAAGAGGATGATGATGATGAACTTGAACAAGATTCAAGAACAGATTCAGATTGCTGATTGCAGGAAAGTCCAAGGCTACTTCCAAGACATTTTAATTTAAACAAAATATAAAGTGTATTATAGTATTTTTTACAGATAATTTATTTGTATGTAAGTTATTCTTAATAAAACTGGAGTGGTTTGTAATTTTATATGAACCTTTTATTTTGTTCCAGTCCTGTCCCATTTCTAGGCAGGGACAGTGTTCATTATAACTTCTTTATCCCCAAGGTAATATATTTGAGGTCTAGGCCCTACGTTTTGTAGGCTATGAACTTGGGCACCAGAGCAAAGATCTGGATGTCTTGCTTTAAATGGTTCTATGGTTATGTGCCTTCCTCAATACTTAAGAAAACACGGAAAGGTTTTCGTTGTGGTTTAGCAGGCCCACAGTAGAGAAACATCATGGAATCAATTTGGATCAAGTGTTCTAATATTGTGATTGCTGTTTTAAACATGGGGGAGGAAGAAAAGTAGTAGAGCTGTTCTCCAGCTGGAGAGGAGGGTCCAAATCTTATTTATAAATATGACAATTTGATTTAACAGTTCTCAGTTGCAATTGACTAAAGGGTTTGCCTTAGATCTCTTAGAATATGGTCTCATATACCTGGGCTGTACTGTTAAATATAATGCAGTGCAAAATTATTATTAGTTGTGTGTGTGAGTGGACATCAAGAAATGAGGAAAAAGCCTTATGTGAACTCTGTGTGTGTTTTTTACATTACTATAATCAAAGTGAAGTCTGGACTGTGTTGGTAATATAAAGAATGAGCTTTAACAACTACAGTAATAATCATTCAGGCCAAAGCCCCTAAGAAGACAGAGATCCAAAATTTTAATTCAAATACCAGCACTTAGTGCCTCTGTCCAGCACGGCCTGTGTACGTACCCCAGCTGTCCTTGCCTGACCCCCACTGTGCGTCGCTATGGGCTGTGCTGTGGCCTTACCCACCATATACGCCCCCAGCATGCCTGGCACAACGCGGCAGGAACAAGCGAATCCCTCACAAGCAGTGGTTAGGATTTTATGTTCAAAACGCAGGAAGCAGTTATATTACTATATATTATACAATACATTTACATATTACAATATAACATGTTATTTTATATATAACTATATATTGTATATTTGAGTGACTATTGCATAATTACATATACTGTAATCTATGTTTTATAAAGACTACAATTACACTGCCTACTGTACTCCCTGTTATAGCAGTCTCGGGTTTGAACACGGCACCTGAAGGTAGGAGAGCGGGCTGTAAGAATACCTGCGGTGCAACGGCATACAAGCCACCCAAGGGGGTGGGGGGGAAAACCTTACCGGCTAT